CCCGGGGGCGGTGTTGGGGCCCCTGCCCCAGCCACAAAGCTGGCATGGCGGTGAGAGCCACTGCCCGCTACCGCGGGGTGGGCTCTCCGACCTCCCTCCCCTTCTCTGCCTTCATACCTGGAACGTCCCACAGGTCATCCCTTCCCCACCACCCTGATCAACTCTTACTCTCTACCCGGGGAATAGTTAATGCTTTCAACAGGCTATGGTTCCCCAAAGGCGTGAGTCAGTTTTGAAAATAGAGCTTTCCTAAATCCTGTATGATTTGGGTCAACATTTTAAAGGCTTTGCAAGTAAAAGAAGTTGGATTTGGGGGGGATATATTTTTATTTAAAAATAGAATATTTTTTTCTTTTCATGTTTGTGTAATTTTTTCGAAGTTTGTGCTGAAGGCCTTAGAAATCTTAACAGGCATGTTTGCAGTTTAGGTGAAGGTGAAAGACTGACAGTAACATTCTCTCTCAAGTCGTGAACAGAAACTTGCAGTGTTTAATAATTACAAAGTTATGTCACCTCTAAGTCTCAAATCTTATCAAAAAAAGCCTTCTGTGTAAGCAGAAGACAAGATTTTTTGTAGTATACAAGATTATTTTTGCACTAAAGTACTATGAATATTGGAGGGGGTATGATGTGGACTACTGCTTGCTGGAGATTAATTTTTTTTTTTTAATAGTTCATGATACAATTAGAATACAAGAACAATTCTTTATTTTCCAGATTAGGTCCAAATGAATAATGCCTTGTTCATGTTACAACAATTGTACAGTTATTAAGTTTGTAAACTTGTGTTGGTTAATATAAAATGCAGCTCCATTCTTTTTGTCTTTATTCGTTTAGGTCATATTGAAGTTGTGAAATTACTTGTGGCCCATGGAGCTGAAGTGACATGCAAAGACAAGAAATCGTATACACCCTTACATGCTGCAGCATCTAGTGGGATGATCAGTGTAGTCAAATATCTTCTAGACCTTGGAGTTGATGTAAGGAAGAATAAAACAAAGTTAAACGTATGGTTTTGTTGTTTGGAATGCTCTTGTTAGTATTGTAGCCCACTGTTTATTTAGGGACGGGTTATGATATAGTGAAAATAGTATTTCCAAAGACTGTAATTCACATACTATTTTTTTTTTTTTGGTTATAAAACCTTATTCCCCCAGGTAACTTAAGAGCCTTGCAGATTTTTTAGAATTATTTGGAAATAAATTTGTATTTAGTAGGTTTTTTTGTTCATTTGGTATTTCTTACTCTTAATTCATTGGACTGGAACTCAGGAAATAGGAATTCCATTTCCTAGCTTTGCCACACACATCCTTTTTGAGCTGCAGGAAGTCAAACTCTCTTGCTTCATTACTTTGTAAAATATAGATGTTACTGACTTTCTTGCACCACATGAGTTTTGGGAATTATTAAAAATTGAGAGAAGCTTCAATACTACAGAAGGAAGACTTTATTAATATTGAAATGCAAAATAAATTAAAAGGCTGTACGATACCTGCATGTAGAAAGTGTCTTAATAACTGTGAAACTGTGTAAGAAATCTACAGTGTGCATCATATTTTAGTCTTGCAAGGCTGGGGAATGCTGCCAGAGTTCTATCTGGAGAAGTAGATCAGAATTCAGTATTGACTTGTGCACAACAACAAATTCTACTTCTATACCCCTCACCCATCAACACCCCCCACCATGCCCCATCCACCCCACCCCTGAAGAAGGGGGGGGCGGGCAGGGAACAACAGCATACTTCAGAGTCTTGTTTGATTTAGAGATCGTTTGATGTTTTCTAGCTTGGATACCTGAACAGTGGCACCTCTTATAATTCATTAGCAGAAGTGTATGCGATTGCATTTTAGAAGTAGTTCATAACTAAATTCCTGTTATACTCAGAACCTGCAGGTCCTCAATATAATTGAAAAATCTGTCTGCATGAATATACACATGCTGCATCTAGGAGTTACAAATTTAAATGCCTAAAACTTATTCTGGGGAGGCTCAGTCCCTTTGACCTCCGTTTTTAACGGAAACCCACAAATGCTGCTGAGCAATGATAGAGATCCGTGCTGTGCTTAGTCTGTTGTGTCAGTGCAAATTGCCACTGTTGATATTTTTTCCATATGTGTGTTCTGTCGAGATGTGTACTGCATACAGGAAACTGGTGTGGAGACAATTGGAGGAGGTTGGCTCACTTGTAAAGCAATAGTACTGTGCCCCAGTACACAGTTTTCGATCAAAGTACTACCTCCAGAACTTGCTTTTAATTTCTGGTTTTGTAGAGTTCCAAAATGTAATGAAGAAGTTGTCTCATGACATGAAATATTTTTTTGTGATAATTACAGTAATACAGGGTTTTGCCTCCTAACTAATCTTGGGGTTTTTTTCTCTGATAGATGAACGAACCAAATGCTTATGGAAATACTCCTCTCCATGTAGCTTGCTACAACGGGCAAGATGTTGTAGTGAATGAACTCATAGATTGCGGTGCTAATGTAAATCAAATGAATGAGAAGGGGTTTACACCTTTGCACTTTGCTGCTGCATCAACACATGGAGCGTTGTGTTTAGAGCTTTTGGTCTGTAACGGAGCAGATGTAAATATGAAGGTAGGTGAATTCAAAGCCATCTATTCACTCTTAAAGATGCAGTACATCTTTATCACAGGTAATTTTTCAAAATCTTTGTTATGGTAGTGTTTAAAGTTTCCACTAATCGATGGAGTACTTCTGTGAAAAGTACCATAGAAAAAATGAGACAGTATGTTGCTTCAAGGAACTTGATTTGATGACAGTACTGCCTGGTCAGTCTTGATTATGTTTACACATCAGAAGTCCATATAATTTGTCTTCCCTAGTCTATCCATATAAGTAAGCGCAAATCATAGGGAAAAATGTAAAAGAACGTGTTTTTCTTACAAGCAAGCAGCATGAAAGAAGTCAAAGATATTTTAGATAAATGTGTATGAACAGGCTGGAGCAGCTGAAGAGCTGGTAATGAAAGATCCTAAAATCTAATGAACAGGGGAGAGTTGTGAAGGGTGTATTAAAAATACAAAGGTAAGCAGATTAGGCCATTGGAAAGTCTTAAACAGCTAGGGTTTTAATTACTCCATGAAAACTTTGTGAGCAGAGTCTGCATGTTTTTTACATCTCTACTTGGTCACAAGTCTTTGGCTGCAGAATATTCCTTAGGGAATAAGCCAGCTTGTCCTAAAATACACAGGTCACAGTCCATTTATTTTCATTGCCAGCTTTCTGCTCTGCATAATATTCCATACTGGATATAGAATCATAGAATCCTTTAGGTTGGAAAAGACCTTTAAGATCATCAAGTTCAACCATTAACCTAGCACTGCCAAGTCCACCACTAAACCACGTCTAAGCCCCACGTCTCCATGTGTATTAAATACCTCCAGGGATGGTGACTCAACGACTTCCCCGGGCAGCCTGTTCCAGTGCTTGACAACCCTTTTGGTGAAAATTTTTTTCCTAATGTCCAATTTAAACCTCCCGTGGCACAACTTGAGGCCATTTCCTCTTGTCCTTATTACTTGTTACTTGGGAGAAGAGACCAACACCCACCTGGCTACAACCTCCTTTCAGGTAGTTGTAGAGAGTGATAAGGTCTCCCCTCTGCTTCCTTTTAAGGCTGAGGGTTTAGCCTTACAGGCCTGAGTTCTGTCCTACATTCTGGAAACAGCATTTCTTAATAATGTGTATTCTGTCATGAAAATAATCCCACAATGTTAAATATAATAATGATTATGTACATATGTTCCTTACACAAATAAGCACAAAAGAGAAAGATAAGTATTACCAAGCAAAGAATTACTGTTTCCTTATGTGCTGGGTTGCCAGGGTTCATGACTTTGTGCATATTTCTAATGTAGAAGAAAGAAGTGTGGGGGAGGTTCAATTGGAAAGATGTGCAGCAAGCATTGGGGTTTTATTTTTCGCTATTTGTTTTCAAATACACCTTAATTGTAGGTTAGGAATAAAAATTAAAAGCTTCCAACATTTTCTTAGGATAATTAAACACTTTTAAAGATTACTAGAATCTTTATGTTTGAGCTTAAGATACAAGTCTTTGTTTTATGTATTATCACTGTAGATACTGACTATATTTAGTCAGTTATGATACTAAGTAACTTCAGAAATTGTGCAAAGAATGGCTAATATCTTCAAACTGGCTGGCAAAGTTCCTGAATTCTTTGAAGTTTATAATGTGGGTGAACTTTTGTTTGGAGGTGACAAAAGCTGCATGAGTATCGGAGAGGGGTATTTTTGCCTGCCTGCCCATTCAATTTTAAGTTATGGAATCCAAAGTATAGATTTTATGGTTTCTGTAATTTAAAAAAAAAAATCCTTAGAAGATTTTCTGGGTAACCCCAGGTTTTTTTCTTGAGCTTACTCTGAGGTGACAGAATAATTTTTTCTGAAACATGAGATAGTGATGGGGCTGGGAAATGCAGCCTGAAGCATGTCAGAGAGCTGAGAATTTTAGCTGAAGCCTAAGAGCTTAATAAAGATTTGGTTACTGAAGAAAATGTCTTTACAGTGGAAAGGGTTAGTAGCTTTAGCTATAGGTTGGCTGTAATTAAAATGTGTTGATTTAATACGTATCAAAACTGTTAAGTGCAGAACGAAGCAAGTAGGGTCATGTAGGGATTTTAAGCAATTATGGCTTGAAAACAGAATTTATCCCCTGTTTCCACACCAACATGTGTCTCTATTGTAATTCCGTTAATAGCATTTTTGTGGATTTATACCAGTGTGACTGAATTTGGCCTGTGAATTTGCACCTGAAGGTGTGAACAGCCTTACTTTTATATGAAAGGTTTCCACTTGCACTGCTGAAAAGTGCAAGAACTGAGGCAAAAGAAAATGATTTCCAAGTTAACTTCTGCTTCCCTGGAAAGGCCTATAAAGATAAATCTTGGATTTAATCAGAATAACAATCTCGAAAAAATAGCAAAGGGAAATTGAATTAGATTATGTTGTGTAGTTAAGAATAATTTGTAGAGTTAAAATGGGATGCTTTTAGAGCATTCTTCCTAAGTATTTATTGAAACCAAGCCTGTTCAGTTTCCAGATACTGAGTCTGAAGTTCAAAGTAGTTCTTAGAATTGTCCTAAGACTTATTTTTCATTGTAATTTTATTGCTTCTGTAATCTGATTCAGTAGATCGCTCCCATGTGCAACCGTTTCTGTGTTTTTAGAGGTAACGGATTAGGTATGGATGGTAATCTAGGGGCAAGTAGACAGTACTATTAGAGCACTTTCTGCTGTGGATGACCTAGTGGGGAAAGCAAAAAGGAAACCCTCTTTTCTTGATGGCAGATGGAGGGTAAGTGCTTGTGCGTATCTGTGGATGTTGGCCTCATCTCAGGAAGGGAATATGTAGCAGAAGATAATGGAACTGCAGAAACTTTAAAACCCTAATAAATACACTTTTTATCACCTCTGTAGGTAGAGGACATAATTTCATACTTGTTTTTGTAGCCTTGTTAGTGTCCATATAGTACTGTAGAACAGTGAATCCTGTTAAGTATTGCTCATTATTACAGCACTCTCTCATCACTATTCAGGATTTCCATGCGTGGAAGAACACATTGAAATGAGTACGTAATAGGACAGTATTAACTGTTTTATAGGCCCCCTTACTACTGGAAAATTCAATGGCCTAAATAGAAAAAATATTTTACTTCTATTGGTGATACTAAAATGTAAGAATTGTTGCTAAGGGGAGATTTAGCTTGGAGGAATGCTGTGGCATGATAGACCCGCATTTCCCCTGACCCTCAGTAAAGCTCAGTAATCTGAGTACAGTTAATATCTGAGTAATCACTTGATAAAACACCTTGTGCTGCGTGTTAATTATTTCTGTCTAATAGCAATTACTGCTTTTAGCAAATTTCCTATGATCTTAAGTATTTTGTGGATATGTTTTCTCTAGTGATAGAGGAGATTTGGGTGATTTCTTTCCTATTACCACACTTAATTGAGTTTCAGTAAAGACAAAAGTCATGATTAGCCCATAGCTATTCTATCATGTGCTCTGATCCTATCTGATCTCATAAAATCTGACAGCTGTAGTTAATATTTGGATAGAAGACCTCAAAGGTATAAAAAAAAAGGCAATAGAAGCAAAAGTTTTGAAGATACCTCCTTGTTTATGCAGTCCACCCTCCTGGCAGCTCAGGAAACAGTGTTACAAATACTTTCCTCAATAAATAGAGCCTTGCTCTTTCATCAGTTAAGGAACTCTTTGTCTACTGGTTCTGATTCTGTATATGCTTCCCTAGTGGCAATGTCTAAGAAGGGAATTCTGAATGCAGTCCTATACTTAGGAGTTCAGCTTCAACGTGGAAATTATCACCTTCATTTAATTTTATACCTGTTCTATGTTTGCATGTTGACAGTTGTGTTATTCCTGGGTTGCAAAGGAACCTAAGACTGTTAGACTGGAGAAGAGGCACTGTGCATAATCAAATCCATTGTCTTAGGGGTGCATATTACATGCATTTTTTAAGTAAATTTGAGCAGAGTAAATCTAAATATCCATTATTGATTGTACTGTGGGTTGTCATTTACAACTTGTAGCTTATTTTGCTGTCATTTCCAAGATCTTAGTCAAGTTGTCTTCTGAGGGTTCTCACTTGACCACTGTGCTCCTTAGTTTCTAATACTGTCACCTTAGGTTATGCTTATGGCCTTATAAGGTATTTTATTAATGTGCTCAGTGAGACTTGGATCTACTTTTTTCTGCTTCATCTTCTTACTCTTCATTAGTCTTCCTTTGAGATAGTAGCATATCTGAGCCAGTGAGATGGCAGCCTTCTTTATCCATGAGCCCTTAAATTAATTTCCTTACTTTCTCAGTTTCCCCTTTTAAAGTTTAGGATGTTAGTTACCAAAGCAGCTTTTGGTCACTCACTCCAACTAAGCTTATTTTATGTGATCATTTTTCTTCAAATTAATCGATTCGTTAGCTTAAAGAAGGAGAAGAGTGAGGGAAATAGACACTAGATGTGTAACAGTTGTTTTAAAGGAGGAAACTAATTGAACACAGAGAAAATTAATGGTTGGATAAAGAAATTAGAACTACATCATGAGGAGAAAGATGAAATGTAGACCTCAGAAGAAAATTCTCTTTGTAAGAAAATCAGAGCATAGAGTTTGCTTGGGGAAGATGGCACTTATGATGTGTTTATTTGACCTTTTCTTAAAGCCTCCAATGACAGAACTAAAATCGATTGTCCGATTCCTCAAGTGGATGTCAACCCCATTTTCTGTGTTTCTTTGTGTCTGCTATGGATATGTGGATGTGTCTTTTTGGATTATTTACAGTCAAAGAAATCTGCTAGATGAAACATCTGGGTGTAGCTTGGCTGTCACTATCAAGTGTTTTATTTCTTTCAATCTAGGTCTGAGAAGACAATGTTACCTGTAATTGTATTGTTCTAGGTGGTGTTTGCTGCTCTGTGCAGTGACACAACTAAAAATTCTACATCCAACTCTGTCTAAAAGGGTCTCCAGCAGACTTTCAGTAACACATCCATAGAAGCTTTGCCATTTGGTTCCAAAGTAAGAGTAAAGATGGGAAGATACTTCTGCATATGACAGCAGTTCATGATATTTCAATACATAGGTTCATATCGTATGTTCCTCCTATCGTCTTTGTCTTTAACTTTGTTTTTTGTGAACATTTCGTGCTCTTCAAAGGCAATGTTTAAAATTTAAAGATGTGGCATGCGTGTGCATCTTTTATTTTCTGTGAGTGTCATGTTTGCAATTCTTTGTGTGCATTTGTAGGAACTTTTTCTGCAGTAAAGCTTTCCCATTACCTATGATAAAGTGCAGGGGGGGGGGAAATCATCCTAAACCAACAATAACAGAAAAAACTGGTTTTGTAAGTGCCTTGAGATTGTGCTGTTAAAAATTGAAACTTCCTTATGCATTACTGTTGGCCTACTTGAAGGACATCTTTATTGGGTGAATGACTAAGTGCGCATTTGATATGTATGTCAAATGCATAGTATGTATTACGGTTGAATAGTTCTACCCTAGGATTACTTGTGGTTTATGACAAATTGCTTACAAATACTGCTTTACAGAAGTTTCCATGAAACACATGAGCTTTTAATGTGTTGTCTTCTAATATAAAGTGTAAACTTCTACAGTAAATACAGCTATTTTCTTTGAAGAAACAATTTAAAGAAGCATTGTTTTGTTTCAGACTTGGGCAGGGGGAGAGTTGGGTGTTGGCTTGTTGCTAAAGTTGTGTGCTGTCATCGTCCTCTTGAGAGTCATTATCCTAAAGGTGTAACTGTGAGTGAGTGGGCAGCACTGAGTTGTCACCCACAGCTGGAAGAGTGATTAAGAGCAGCTCTTTTGAAAAGCTTGCCATGTCACGCTGACTTGTCACTGCCAGCATCTGTCTCGCAGAATTGCATAGAAACAATTTAAAGGAGGGAGTAGAGGGTAGAAAAGAAAGTAAAAGAATGTCCTTTTTCTTTCTTTTTTTTTTTTCTCGGTTCTGGTAGATTACTATTACTGGCCATAAGTAAACACTGGGTTGTTGTGGTTTTTTTTTTTTCTTTTCCAGAGTAAAGATGGGAAAACACCTTTGCACATGACAGCAATCCATGGTAGATTTTCAAGATCTCAAACCATCATTCAAAATGGTAAAAAGGGGGAGGGAGTAGTTTTGTCATCAGCTTTCTAGTATTACGAATATTTTCCTCCTCTTGTATTGATAACAGTGTACTGAAATTTTTTTCATATCCAATCTCCAGTAGTAATTCAGTTCATGGTGGAGTCTGGCATATCTGCTTACAAAGCTTCATAAGTTACGTTAAAGAACTGTTTATTTTTCAGAATGCAGGCAAATATATTAATCTGTCTTCCATAACCCAGGTTGCAGAAAGTTTGTCCCATACGGTTACATAATTAAATGCTTCTCTCTATTTTGCTTATTATTAATACTAAATACTGCTGAAAGGTATATAGATTTTAAATCCAAAGTAGTCATTCATGGACAATTATTGATGTTGCTTAAATTATCATCAATGCTATTTTTCTAACAAAAGTATCTGTATGCCTATGTATATTCTTACTTTGTAATTACTTTTTATTATAGGAGCTGAAATAGACTGTGAAGATAAGAATGGAAATACTCCTTTGCACATAGCAGCTAGATACGGCCATGAGCTATTAATCAACACTCTGATTACGAGTGGTGCTGACACTGCAAAGTAGGTAACTTTACTGACATGAATATAAGCTGACAGAATTTAGAAATGTATTTATTAGGTTAACAAGACTAATATGATTTTTTTTTTAAATATTGTCTTCAGCTTGAAATAGGAAATACTTTGTATATTATCCTGTACTGTGCTTTTAAGTAGCTACACAGTACATTGCAATTTGTACAAAAAGAATTATATTTTCCTCTAATGTATTTGAAGTGAAAGCTCCGAAAGCTTTAATAGGCTGTTGCACTGAATTAATGCATCCTGCTAACTTGTAAGAACGTGTTTAACAGGTGAAGTTTTCCTAAGGCTCAGTATTCTAATTAGGTAGTTTGCTGAACCCACCATGTATGTGCACTTTGGCACACAATCATGTTTGTTTATTTTAATTGTAATGAAACTGTGAGACCTGATTATGGTGTATCTTAGGCGGGGTATACATGGGATGTTTCCTCTCCATTTGGCAGCATTAAGTGGATTTTCAGACTGCTGCAGAAAACTCCTCTCATCAGGTAGGATACTCTTTAAAAATCTTATGGCTACTTTGTACTTGATGTTGTTTTTCCATAGAGTAGCCTTTAATTAAGTCTTAATTTAGTAATACATAAAAATCTTCATAGTTTACTAGTAGCCTGGGGTCAGTGCTTGTTTTTTTAATGGACAGTCGACAGTTAAAGTAAATGCAAACTTCTGTAGAAGTATTTTTAAAAAAAAAAAACCAACAAAACCAAACATCCAACTTGAAATAATGTGTCTGTAACTTTTTAAATGTTGTGTTTGTGCTTTTTAAGTCGGCTGTAGAGGTGGGATGACTGGTTCAGACCATAATGCAACTTCAAGGGGAAAGACGAATGTTCTCTTAAATGACTTCATCAAGCATCCTGCATTTCTGTGTTGTCTTCAGCTTAGTATAGATCAGTCTATTCCTATCTGTTCCTATGGTGGGCACTTAATCATAGAATCATAGAATGGTTTGGGTTGGAAGGTACCTCAAAGATCATCTAGTTCCAACCCCCCTGCTGCGGGCAGGGACACCCTCCACTACACCACGTTGCCCAAAGCCCCATCCAACCTGGCCTTAAACACTTCCAGGGATGGGGCATCCACAACCTTTCTGGGCAACCTGTTCCAGTGCCTCACCACTCTAACAGTAAAGAATTTCTTTCTAACGTCTAATCTAAATCGACCTTCCTTCAGCTTAAACCCATTACCCCTTGTCCTATCACGACAATTTAATAGCTCTGAAGACTCTGGACTGCTACATTAAGAAACTGTTGCATTGGTGGTTTACTGTTAATTGAATGCAACCTGAACTGTGCTTTGCTTTCCTTGTTTGATTCCTCCTCTAAGTTGGGGAGGGCTGTAAGGTTATTACTTCCTTTATCATCCAGAGTCTGCTCTGGTGTGAATTCTGAGCTCTTTGAACCATTACAATTCTGAGAAGGTACCTTTGTCTGAAGGATTGTGGAAGCTTCAGGAACAGAAGAATAAACGAAATTATTCTACATTAATCTGAAGGCACTTCATGTTTTTTGAAGAGAGAAAAGTGCAGGGCAGAGAGTTGGGGAGAGGAAGGGTAAGAAGTTGCTTCCCCAGGTTTATATTGCCTGCTAGGGAAGCCTGGAAGAACTAAAGGAGTATAACTAAAGCTACCACCAGTAAGGCTTTTTATTTCGCTGTCCTGTCATGGACAAGTTTGCAAGGAAAGAACTGTCCTGTAGTTAACTATATTTCAATTGGATGCGTTCAAAATGAGGCATAGTCTGGCTCTTTCTCCTTTCTGCACATGGTGCTGCGCTGGCTGTGCGCTTACCTGAGATTCAGTACGGCAAAGGAATACCCGCAGAAAACTTGCAAGTGGTGTCTGTGACTTTTACACGAGTTGAGCAAACTTGGATGTAAATCTAGCCTGGAGCAGATAAGGACTTTAAAGAGTATGTTCAGCCTTCAGACAGGAAGGACTAGATAGTGCTAACAGCTTATTAGTATGTGCTTTTGGTGTGGGGATTGGTATCTGCGGACTATGTGCCCTTTTTGGTTTTGTGAGGAAGAGTCTCATTTATGTAAATTTAAGACTCTCTTAAATTCAGTAATATTCATGTTCAGACCTTAAAAAAAAAAAAAATCATCAATCTGCTTTGTCCCAGTACTGAATGACATTTAAGTAGTGGTGTTAGACAAGCAACCTAGGGATGTGAAAAGGCATCGAAGACTACTTCTCAAATCAGATTGGTTAACTATCTTAAAATGTTTCCTGTATATTAGTGCCTATTGAAATGGGAGGAGAACGTAGTGGCGCACATAAAACCCATGTATTGGAGGATGTGGTGTAGGAAAACAGTCTTGAATAGTAGTACTCTTGAATAACACATCCTGTGTTGTTCAGCATTTATCATTGTTGAACAATTCTTAAAAAGGAAAAGAAAAAAATTGCATTCCCAGGCAAAAGTACCAAAACTGGAGAGATAATGAATAAGCAAGACTCTTAGGAGAATGTAGTAGTTTTCTCAAACAAAAAAAGTAGCTTTGAAACCTGATTTAAATAGCAATCTTCATGTCAAAATAATATGGTTAGATGTGGAATTGCACAGTTAACATTTGTGATCTGAAATTTGAAGTTCCATAATTCACACAGTTTTGGGAAGAGAAAACTACAATGTTCTCTGAAGGGCTCCTCTGTAAGTAATTGCTATTTACAGCCTTTGCTCCAGCTTAACAAAGTTCTTTCTCTGGTACTAAAGAGCTAAACTGAAGGATGAAATGTAAGTAGCTTCTGGATTTAGTAATGCTGACATCCCCCCCTTTATTTAAAAAAAAATAAAAAATCTGCATAACACCGATAAATTCTAGCATATTCTTAAATTTTCCTATTACCTTCATGTATTTATATTCAATATTAGATTGCACAGAAATATTAGCAGGCAAGTAGGATAAGAAAGAATATAGCCTCTTGCATCAGTGTAGCTAATTGTCTTTTACCTTATCCCTTTCAGTTTTGCTTGAATGCCTGTTTTTCAAAATATTACAATGACTAGCAAGGATGTGTTTCAAATGAAGTGAATTTTCAGTGCTTAAGTGCTTTTTTGCAAGTAGCTGTTAAATTAGCTTAGCAAGCATTTCTCTCTCATCTTGTAGATGAGAGCAGTTTTGTGAAAGGTGGTGTTACATGATGATTTTACAAAATACTTGATTTGTAGGTTTTGACATTGACACACCAGATGACTTTGGCAGGACTTGTCTTCATGCAGCTGCAGCTGGAGGGTATGTAAAAAAGCATTCATGCTTTCATATGTAGTGTTCTTTTTTCAATTGCTGATCATTCCTGTTCTTTTTTTATTATTATTATTTCCTCTTTGCGCTTTTCCTGCCCTCTCCCTTTTGGAATTTATATAAACATGAAAATAATTTCAAGATGGATTCTATCTCAAACAATAAAAATAAATTAAATATTCAGCTCAATAAGTAATTATTGGAGTACAGTGTCCAAGTATCATCAGCCTTACCTTAGGTTTATGCTTGGGGATGAGCTGAATTTTATTCTAGATTTCCATGGATGATGATATAATTTTTAGAATTTACAGCATTCAAAGATGGCATGCCCAGCTAAGATCACTGTAGGACATGAGGTGGAGAACAGCAACTTTGGGAAATATGTTTTTACCAAATCCATAAACAAAAGATCAATCTAACTAAATTAAAAACCATAATTAAATTCCAGAGTTTAGGTGGATGAAGTAGTCAGAACTACTTGCTCATCACTTGAGTTATGATCCATATTGATTATTGTTATTGTATTGTAGGTTTTCTATAGCAGCTACTCAAAATTGCCTGGAAGAATTGGGTAATAAATTTCATGATACACTTTGTGGGACAAAAGAACTCCATGATACTGATATTTTCATTTTTCTGTTTCAATGTTGTTTAAGTACTACTGTTAAGTAATCATTCTAAGTCAAAAGAATCCAAATCCATGTTGCAAATGATTAAGGTTAAAATGCTATCTTTTCATATAAAAACACATAATTTGTGACACATTCCCTCATTCATCTCCAGTTTAGGAAAGTTACTAAGATAGTGTTTAAACAATAAACAGTATTGTACATCTAGTATGATGATCATATTGTATTGAATAACACTAAAAAGTAAAATATTTGTGTTGCAACTTATATTTGGCCTTATAAAAGTACACATTAAAAACTTGCCTCTGTGCTGGAATTCTGGTAGCAAAAAGCATGTGGCATGCAGGTGTTATTGTTTGTTTGCTTTAAAGAACTGAAATTTCTATTAAATTAGGTTAATGTTTATGTGCTTTATGCATGCCATTTGATATCAATAAAATTTCTGTATATAGACTTGAAATAATTTATATTATTTCCTGATTTGGTCCTGCAATTATGACATCTATTTTACATACAAAAACATATTTATCAAAATTTTCATGTGATTGATCAGTTCCATTGAAAACCAAGTCTGAGATGTATATGTGTAGCAGTTCAGATATTTGCAGAGGCCAATATTAAGGAAATAAAATCTGCAATCACAAGTAATATTGCATTAATTTAATAGGAATTTGGAGTGCCTAAATCTGCTGCTAAATACTGGTGCAGACTTCAACAAAAAGGACAGATTTGGGAGGTAAGACATCCTAGACTTGTATAGGATTGTAAAGGGCTGTTAAAAGTATTACGGAAGTAGCATATTGCTATGTGGGCAAGTCTGTGTGTTACAGTTTAAATGGTTTTTTAAGATACAATGTCTCTAAGAAGCTGTGCTTCAGCACATGTTATCAAGAGTTACAAACATATTTTGTTTATTGTGTTTTGCTAAGTAGGTGCTTAGCCTTGTTTTTAAAGACTGAGTTCCATGTTCAGCTGTAATTTTATGTGCCATGAATCTAATGAGTTTAAATTGCCCTCATCCAAGGACATTAGTGATGTTTTCCAAATAATGTGTTAGTCAAACCTATAAATCTGTTGTTATTTCTAAGCTTTTTTATCAAAAAATCCTTTATTTTATTATAACGGCTTCACTGTTTTCCTTTCATTGTATCCTTCCCATTCTCCTTCCTTATTCATGCTTTGAACTGTCTTGGAATCACATTTCTATTTTTAGTATAGGATGATTTCAGTTTAGATGGCATGATCAGCATGATGAGTGTAAAATCTCACATACATCATGGAAAATAAGATTTTCCAGGATGAGAACAGCAGGAGTAAGACTTGAGGAGAATGTTATGGATCCAAAGTTGCATTTTGCTTTAAATTCCACTTCCATTCTTTCCTGAGAAAGAAACAACTATCTGTCACGACTTGTGTCATTGAAAGTTGTTTTGGTTTGTTTTTGGTTTTTTTTTTCAAGGTTTGGTTTGTTTGGTTTTTTTTTTTAACGTGTGCATCATATAGAAAATAACAGGAGAGGGAAAAGATTAAAATAGTTCAAAATTGGAAAAAGCAATTTCAGAGGAGAGGGAAGAGGTAGGATGCTTTAAAGTGCCTAACTGTCTCCTCAAAATTGAGGTATTTATAGTAGCAATCTCTTTTTAAAAATAGAAACTGGAATTCTGTGTCATCTTTTGAAATTTTATCCAAACTGTTTTATTTAGAGAATTGTTTATGTATTTGGTGTTGGAATAAGTTTCCTCTGAGATTCTACATCAGTACTAATATTTCACGGTTTTGTTATAAGAAGATAAGGTATATTTTTAAAAGTTTTCTTTAACAATACCTTTGGTATGTTAGTATAGTTAAAAATAAATAATGCTTGTCTCAGAAAAAATTCTGATCTGTTTGTTGAAAACATCTACTTGTTAATTGTTGGAATTTTCTTTTTACCTTGTTTAGTTGCTATGTAGTTCTTAAATTTGTCCATGTTTTTCCATGTGGCTTGAAATTACTTAACTAAAAATAATATTTCTAATGTAAACTTGATTTTCCTCTATATATTTGCACAAGAAAATTCATATAAAGCTTCCCTTAAGACAAAGTTTGTGCATATTTTGGCTTGCAAACAGATCCCCTAGATACTGCTCTGCATTATTAAATGGTCCTGTTTTTTAATACTGTAATGATGCAGTCTTCATCATAAATACTTGTTAAAAAAAACATAAGAAGGATTGAAGTTTCATTTTATTTTGCTTTTTCTGTCTCTCTAATATTATTTTGCTGTTATTTACCATTGTACTTTTTATTTAAATGTGTACTAAAGAACTCCACTCCATTATGCTGCTGCCAATTGTAATTATCAGTGCCTGTTTGCCCTTGTGGGGTCTGGAGCTAGTGTGAACGACCTTGATGAGAGGGGTTGTACACCTCTGCACTATGCAGCTGCATCAGACACAGATGGAAAGTAAGTGGCATGCTTTGTACTAAAGCCTTTCTCCTTAGAAACATTTGAGCTGTGAATTTCGTGTATGTTCTGCCTTCAGATTTGCCAAATGCATTTTTTTAAAGCTTAAACTTGACAGTGGGCTGTTCATTGTATATAAAATATTTTATCTAACAAGCATTTCTGAGAAAAATGAACAACAGTAAAATGTATTGCAATTTTTTTGTTATGCCCTACAATGCAGATGTCCTAATTCCGCAATTCATTGGGAATAGTTTTAAATCCCACCTGCTGGGTAGTGGTTGAGTAAATATCGTTTGTGGGGATTGTTATGACAGTTGGGACCAGTAGGGTCATTTTGCTTTAAAATCAAATTCTAATGAAGGATGGTGTGTTTTATGGAGGGTTCATGATTTTGCCCAAAAATCTGTGTAGTTAGACAGAAATACACTGTAAAACTAAACTGTGAGTTACCATAGGCCTACCTCAGGATAGAAATGAACTCGACATTTAAATATAAGATGCTTTATCCATTTGATGTTTGATTAAACTATTCTTGTTTGGCATTACAACTCTATCTCTTGTTAGTGTAAAATTCTGTGAAGTAGTTACGCTTCTATTAATGAAACGCATCCAGAAACTTTCATAAATCCATAAATGTCTCTTGCGTGTGTTTCTTTTGTAACTAATGTTTACATTTCACATAGTTATTAATGACTTCAATGCTTATATAGATAGCACAAAATTGATGAGGTTCCTTAAGTTCCAGACACTGTATATATTGAGGAGACTTGCAAAGAGTACCACTTGCATGTACACAGGTCAAAACAAGCTGGTGTGCAGCATCACACTTCAAATGCATACAGTGACACCTTCACTAGAAAAGTGCTGCTTAGTGCGGGATCATCTTGTTTTAATGCAGCACCTTTTTAAAAGGTGAGGTAGCAGTAGGAACAAGGTGGCATATAACTTCCAGATAGGGTTTTGAAGGATAAATAAAGAATACTTTCATGGCCATTTAACTAATAGTTAAAGTACATGCCTTTTTTTATGTAAAGCCAAATTTCAAAACAAGATTGTCTGCTGCTTTTTA